CAGCTAATTAAAGATCCTTTTTAAAGAGACCTCACTTCCCGAACAAGCCTTTAATTGGCTTCAAAGGCTGCGAGTGAGGAGAGAGACGGATTGCCTGTGAATGGACAGGTGGGCTGAAAAATGTCACCACCGCCGACTGAGGATATTTCATTTATACCGTGTAAATGGTTTTTGCTTGCGTGTATGTGGCCCTCCTGAATGTAGCGTGTGTGTGTGTGGACATTGCAAGATGGAAAGCCAGAATTAAAATAGTATTATGTTTGGCCTGCAGAATATGATCAAATGGGCCTGTTCACGTCTGAGATTACCTGTTCAGTTTCTCCATTTGCACCTCTTCTGTTTTCACTGTTCTGCCATAGATGGAATCTTGGCTGCTGACTTCAGTTACATTGAATTCAGAAACTATCTGCACCTTTACCTCAGTGAGACACTACAGTGGCACTGCAGGGAGGTCCAACCAAAAGAGGGTTGCCTTCTCGAGGATCATGTGTACTCTAAACTGCAGAAGTAGTGCATGTGTGGAAATGAAAATCTCGTTCATTTTTTCAGTTAAAATAAGCCACAGGAAATGAAAAACACGCATAAATCTCAGACTGTTTTTGTATGAATGCTGGTTGTTGTGTTTGTGTTGGAGATGATGCTTTCAAGGACATTTTTTTTCTTATGACTGAGCTCTTCTTGTGCGTGACGCTGAATGCAGGAGCTCCAAGTATTAATGACACATTTCTAAACCCCGATCAGCAGCACATGGTGATGATCCAAGGCCTTGTCTTCACAGCAATATTTTCATTGATAAACAGTTTTTTTGCTTGTACATTACTGAATATTTTCTTGCTTTTTTGTTTTTTTACTTTGTCTTCTGTCAGATGAGGGTTACTACCAAAGCGGAAGGTTTCAGTTTGAAATAGATGTCCCTGAAGCCTATAACATGGTGGTAAGTAGTCCTGTTTTCTCTTTTTGTTTGGTGTGAAAATGTATTTGTGTTTGTTTTGTGTGTGTGTGTGTTGCCATCACCTCTTTCCTTTGTCTGCTCTTCCGTTCAAATTGCCACACAGGCATTATGTCGCTGTGCATTTGAGTCTTTTGCTACACATTATTCATACACATTGATTTCCTTTATGTGCAGCAATACTTGCTTTCGAAAAAGTTAGGGAAACGCTCAGTCATCACATTACAACAGCAAGTCAGTTGAACTTCTCGGATATTGATCTGTCCCGTTCGGATGCATCAGCGATTGGAAATCAGTTTCACCTGCTTTGGTGTGTGTTTCTGACCAAACTGTAAGAAAGGGACTCCATGAGGGTGGTATGAGGAGGGCCTCATGTCCTCTAGTGGGACCTGTCCCCAGCCCAGCACTGAACAGCTTGATTGGCATTCACCAGAGAACACCAGAATTGGCAGGTCCGCTGTTGGCGCTCTTCATAGACGAGAACAGCTTCGCATTAAGCGCATGCACCAGACATGAAAGTGTGGAGAGGCTGTGGTGAACACTGTTCCGTCTGCAGCGTAATCCAGCATGACTGGTTTGGCGGTGGGTCAGTGGTGGCCCGGGGAAGGCATGTCCTTCAAGGGTTGCACAGATTTGGCCAGAGTGTTTAGGGAGCTTCTGGATGACGAAGACATTGATGCCACTCACTGGCCCTCGTTCCCCAAACCTGAATCCAATTTAGAACCTCTGGGACATTATGAGTCGGTGCACTGATGTCCTGATCCAGATCCTTTCGAGACCATCTGCCGTCTCATCAGGAGCATGCCCAGTTGTTGTCAGGACAGGCACACGACTGAGCCACATTCTGAGTTGTTCCTGTGACTTGAGTGTTTAGTTCATTCAGGGTTAGTGATTATTACATAAGACGGCTCTTAGTTAACATGTTGCCCACCTTGTGAGCCTCCACATTAAGTCAGTCGCTGAACCACCTGGTTTGATGTCTGCTGTGGAATCACATTACAACAGAGTCGGCTGACTCTCCGAATGCTTTTCTTCATAACTGCAGGGTTTCAGTTAGAATTTAATGCATTGAATGATTATTTTTTTTATTCCTTCAGGCTAGCCAAATGTGTTTCACTTAGACACATAGAAAGTGCACAGAGGTGACGAACAGCAATGACTGAGAGACCCACCATTAAACAAAAGGTGTTGTTTGGACGAGACTTCAATTAATGAAAGATCAATTAAAACAGTATTTTTTAATTAATTTGAGCACTTCTCATTGCAAGAGGAGCCTGTACAGAAATCCACCCATAAACAAACACGACTACAAATACGTAATTAATCTAGTTTATATGGACACGATACATTTTAAACTTCCTTGTTCTTATATTTCCATCTCGATGCAATAGACACTCATCAAGCTCAGATTTTTTAAATGAATAAAATAGAAAAATCTGCTTGTGTCTGATGTAAGAGGCTAGGAGCTGTATAGATGTAAAACCTCCCTGATGGGAAGCTGCACCACAACACTAGATTCTTCAAATCAACTCAAATGAATCTGCTGAGAACTTAATTAGGCTGACCTTACGCCTCAAAATGCCAGTTGTTAGGGGAGCAGCACTCAATCAGTTCACTTCATCAGCCTCATAGTAATGTTTTTTTTTCCCTCAAAAAAATGTAATTAATCTCTGCAGGCGTGGATGATTACCTTTCTGTAGTCTGTAGCCACTTAACATTGATAACCTTGATGAATTGTTTAATCTTCATCCAAACATGCATTAATACAACTCGCACTGTCAGACGTAACACAGCAATAGTAGCAACTAGTTTATTAACTCTGTCTGTTATGTGTCTTTACTCAGCTGCAGTTGCTGTTATAACTGGCTTCATCCTTGCTTTCCATTAGTGGAAAACCAGTGAAGTACCCAAATCCAGTAGAGGTGATCATGTCCAGGAAGCCATAATCCAAACTGGGTTCATTCAATGTACTCCTAAGAAGTAACTCAGAATGTGACAGACCAGTACCGGTTGTAAAGCAGTAAATCATAAACACATAGCATGTGGCAACCAATTTAACACTCTATTTTGTTTTAGGAACAAGAGAACATGAGTTTAAAGAACTCTCCAAATGTTGGCAAGGATGCGGGGAAACAGCCTTCATTTCATAAATTCACATTCCGATTGCCAACTCAATGATGTTGTCGCTCGCCATTGCCATCAGCGTCGCAGAGGGTGCTGTGCTACACTGGCATTTTAGAACGTCATTATTTTAATAGCATATTTTAAGCCACGTTCTCTAAGAGCGCCAGCATCTTGCTGTGTTGAGAGAAAATTTAGCTCCTGCGCAGTTTGCTCTGCACTTCAATTTGCTGCTGATAACCAGGGCAGCATTGTAAATGATAGCAACTCGAATGTGAACCGACAGAGCAGACTCATGCTCAGGAAGATTGTCAAAATTAAGAAGAAATATTTTTTTCATGAACAATCGGTAGCTGTTGTTAAAATGAGAACAGGGTGTCATATCTTGCTATCTGAATTATACAGACTTTCATATAGTTCAGGCTCCCTCTTCCTTACTAAATAGCATGTAAACACCCATCGATGACAGATCACAAATAGACCAATGATGTGGCAGTATGAACCGGGGTATTCCCTCAGTGGTGTTTTCTTAATAGACGTAAGTGTGTTTACTACCTGAGCACATGTATTCCAGCAATTATAAAACAGCAGATGTAGTGTTTTGGGTTTTTTAGCTGACTTGTTTGTTGATCACAGGTAATAATGAGGCACTTTAATTCCAGATACAGAGGGAGAAGTGATTGTAAAAAGAGGGAGAAAGTCTAGTGCTCAGCTAATTTGCTTTGAGAAAGAGAGAGCCCACGTTGTGTGTTTGTAATGAAGGTCTGATAAGTATTGAGGTGACGGGCAATTTAAAACTTCTGCAAAGAGCTAAACTTTGTAGCAAAGTTTTGGGTTTATTAGGATCAAGTGGGAAGGCTAGAAAACTAGGAGGACATACTGAGACTTTCTCTACAGCGTGTCTGTACACAGTTTGATCTGGGTTTAGTGCAGAGTTTGAACAATGGGAGAACAGTAAATTGCAGCAAGGAGACATTGGTATGTTGAGGCAATCCATTTAAACCTTTCGTCCCTCATTTTCCTTGGATCTCTCCACTCGTGCTGTACTACTGTATCATTTGTCTTTTGCAGTATGCTTGGTTAATATTCACATTGCTGCAGACAAGTTGAAAATTTAACTCCTGCACTCATTCAGGTGCAGAGACTTTTTTTTCCTTCTCCCTCCAAGCATTTACTATACAAGTTTAAATCCACATTGGGACAAAGGGTAAAAGCCGACACAGAAGGCGCAGAAGCATCTGTGTTGACCAGCAGTAGTAAACGGACCATCTGTGGACACTGGCCTGAGTTTTGAGGGTTCATCTATTTGACAGCTGTTGGCTGAAGAGTCTAAAGCAGAAAAAGAGAAAGTGCTCTACGCATTACACATTTTAAGCATATTAACAGAAATTCTGCAGTTTGCTGTGTCCTTTTTTTTTCCCACTTTCTCTGTCGTTTGTGTGTTTGTGTGAGTCACATCCATATGCATGTGTCACATGTGAATTGTATGGATGCATATTTAAGAACTGGCTTAGGAAGAGTTTTACCCTACAAAGAAAACCTGCAGTAACCTTGGAGAGCCATGAGAGATTTATGTTTGACTGCTTGCAGACCTTCTTGCTGTTTTAAAGATAGTTATTTAAGATATATATATATTTTTTGCCTTTAGAAGATTGATTTATAGGATGATCCATTTGCCCCTTCTGTTAAGACTTAGCAAGATTAGGCTAAGACGTAGTTTAACATACAGAGATTGGCTGGCTACTACTGGTTATTAAATCACGTTTGAAATTAAATTAAACATTCAAATGAATTAAAATCTGCATCCCCTTCTTTCTGCTTCCTTTTTTTTTTTTTGTATCTCAGCCTCCTAAAGTGAGATGTCTGACCAGAATATGGCATCCTAATATCACAGAGAACGGAGAGATCTGTTTAAGGTATGTGACTTCTTCCTCTCTTTGTTTCAACTTCTGTGTTTAATTCTGAGTTTACGTTGTTGTTCCTCCTGCTGAGAAATGAATGGGAAACCCCTACTTTCAAAATGTTGTTTTCATGACTGTGTTCGTGCTTTTCTGTTTTCCTGCAGCTTATTGCGGGAACACTCTATCGACGGCACAGGCTGGGCCCCCACTAGAACATTGAAGGTAAATAAGTGGCATTTTCTCAGCAGAATGTGGTTAAATTTAAATGAATGTTAACTCGTGTGTTTCAGGGATTTTTAACCAAGGTAAAGGGGATAAGTTAAGGTGCTTTTACTCTAACTGTGACAAAAACAAATAAATCAGACCCCAAACGTCTACTGGGGGGTTGACGATGTCTGCTTGACAGTGACCAAAAATTTGGACCCCTCTCATTCCTACACATGGATTTGATTTATGAGCCTCTCCTTAGCTTTTAATACAGTAAAGATACACACCTTGCTGAAGCACCTGACAGGATAACAGGTCAACACAGTACCGGGGCTTTGTATTAAAAATTTCCTGCAGGATAGGCCACCAACATGTTGTGGTTAAAGGTTTCTAAGTCTTGCAATATTGTTTTAAACACGGGGGTCTCAGAGGTCTGGCTCTTCTTTCTGTTCACTCACTCTCTCATATATTGGCAGTGACCGTAACATGTGAATCTAACTGCAGCCCAATCTGACTTCTTGTAACAGTGGCTACATGGTGCTCAAACCTGTGAGGAGTTACTGGCTGTTGTAATGATGGATATTGTTAAACCGCCTGCACAGTGGATCGTCTAAAACACAAAAGACATGAATGTGTCAACCCTTGACATTATACCTTTTTTTTTTAATATCCAACCACTTTTTCTGCTTTCTTAAACAGACAAAAAATGAGGTGCGGGAAATACAGCTTAGGGCTATTGAAAACACCGTGGCTCTATTCTCTCAGAGCACAATAGCAAATCTTTTGCTGAGCTGAGTAAGGTAAACTCCACAATGAAAGGCTTTCCTAGCTGCATATGAAAGAGTGCCTTGACTTTTCATGCTTTTAGCCTTCACTCGATTGAGCACTTTTTTTTTCCCGCAAACTGTTAAGAAACAGTCACTGAAGTTGAAAGCAAGGACACCCTCTGCGATCCCTATTCAAGTTTTGACTAAAATAGCGTCGGATGGAAACTACCCGGCGAAACTTAATGCAGTTGTGAGGTGGAGCTCTGTCTTCCATGTTAAATCAGACTGCGCCTCCCTGCGGGGACCCGCGACTAGATCAACATTCCTCTCAATCGCTGCGCTGGTGTGCACTTGTAATTATAGAAATATGCAAATGTATGCATTTGAAGCACTTGGTGGTCCGTCTTCCTCTAGTGCCAGATTTCCCAGTTTAGAGTATCATCCAGTAAATCCTCTTTGGATACCTCTTGAGTTTCCAGCAAAGGCTCCTCTTGAAGTTATTGCCAGGATTTGTCTTATGCTTAAGAATTCTTTCTCTGCTTTTTGTACGTGTGCGTGTCAATCCAGGCCAACTACCTTCCTTTGCCTTATTTTTGCAAGTTCTTCTGCAAGTATGAGTGCACGTCTTTACCTGCCTCTAGAAGATGTATCCTTCTATGCTTTCTTGCAGAGCACGAAAAACAGATTCCCCATCATTGAAAACTATCAGATTAGACTAATTTGTTTTATCGCAGTGTCGTCGTAGTGCCGCCGTACCACTAAACACATTATGCTGTCAGTCATTTAATACACCAAGAAGAAACAGAAATCTCTGCCAAGATAATGCTCTAAAAGAAAATGTGTTGTATATTGATCTATTTTCCTATAACGTAAAATTAGGCTCCGATGATTGCATTGTGTCTGCGACCAAATCCAATTTGCTCTGAATACAGCAGCTGCATTTGCAATAACAACAGAATGTTGACCAGAACACAGTGGGGTTATGTGCGGAAATTAAAAACAACAACAATCTCATCTTGTTTAAATTTAATACAGCGTTTTCGTTGTTGTGACTTTAAAACTTGTGAATCACGATGCGAAAGGTTCTTTCTCTGAAACACCCCCGTCTGTTATAATGTGCTCAATTCTCAGATCTCAGTTCTTATTGTTTTGACTGCGTCCTTTTCTTGACCTTGATCCTGAGAAGGCAGGAAAGCAGCTTTGCATACACTATGAGCGCATGTCTTTGTACGCGTCTGTGTTCGTTGTAGCAAAAACCACCAGTTAGAACACGGTTGGGTTTGGGAAGCGCGTTCTTCAACCAACAAGGTGAAGCGTACAGAATTAAGGTTATCTTCAGTGTCTATGAAAAGTATTTGACAAATTCAAATTACCTCACCTTCATATTTGACGTGAAATCCATGCAATTATGAAATATCTGAATCTGATCGTATTGAGTTTTTAAATACGTGCTCTGTGTCAACACTAGTACAATACTGGTGTCACACTCGCAAGTAGATGCAGCATTCTAGCTGTGGGTCAAAGTTAGGCTTCGCAGAGCTTTACAAAGTTCAGCTGTGACAGAAATGTAAATAATAATAATAATAATTTTATTTATAAAGCACTTTTGGTCAAAGTGCTGTTCAGGCAATAAATCAAACACAGTCAATAAAACAACACAATCCAACAATTGAGGATACATAAGATAATGTGTACATGTGGGTCTTTAGCTTTGCTTTAAAAACATCCACAGAACAGGCCTGTCTCATGTCGAGAGGGAGACTGTTCCACAGTGTCGGGGCACAGGATGGAAAAGCTCGCTCACCAACAGTCTTTTTCCTGACCTTCGGCACAGTCAGCAGTGCAGATCCTTGCGAGCGGAGGGCACGAGAAGGTGCATACAACGAATAACAACATTGAATAAATAAGAGGGTGCCAGTCTATTTAAAATGTTAAAAGTCAATAAAAGCACCTTAAAATCAGCAGGAGCCTGACATGGAAGCCAGTGCAAAGAGGCCAGCACCGGGGTCATGTGATTGAATTTTCCAGCTCCAGTCAGAAAGACTATCAGCGATGTCTGTGCTCAAAGTGTTGGTTGTGCTTTTTTTGGGTTTATTTTTTTTATGGCTACCTGTTTCTATCTCTGGCCCGTCTGACAGTCGGTGGATGCCGGTTTGAAACACAGTCCGTGTTTGTTTACTCGAGGGTAGGTGTGGATGTGGTCGTACGTGTGAGAGCGGCTGAGCTCGGGGTTCATGTGCGTCAGCAAATGTCACTGAGAGCACGAACATATGTGAGAAAAAGAAAGTGCGAAAGCGAATCAGAAAGGATTGTGCTGAGTGGGTGATGCTGTCCCTGTTCACTGGTCACCACTCTTCTCCACTTCAGCCCACACATTGCTGCATGAGATGCCTTTACAGTAATGGCTTATATTGGAAACTTAGCACATGTACTGTATATTGGCAGAGTGCAAAAATATAGTCGTGTCAAACTCTCTACTTCGCTGCTTTAGTGTTTTTTTAGCAGAACATTGTGCTTGTACAATGTTTAATTATGACTCAACATATTTTCTTTATGTGTTTTTGTTGAGCAGTTGTTCTCTGGAAGTACAAGGGCAATTTAGCTGTATGTATTATAGAGACAAAATTGGAGTGCTTTTATAGACAAAGTGATGACACAGACGGAGTTTGTTAACAATGCAATTAGTTGCACTTTATGTATTCGGGGCATGTTTGCCATATAGTTTATATCACTGTAAATCCATATCTGGGTGGAATTTATTTGGCTCTGAAAGCAAGATGAAGGTTACTTTAGGTCATTGAAAAGGGATCGCCGTATGTATTGGGTGTAATCTGTAATTCCTAGTTTGTTTCATTTCTTGTTAAAAGCAAGAACCTGCGATCAAATCTAGATTTATGGTAACTACATACAACACGGGCTATGGAAATATGTGCCATGCAAAATGCAGTGAAATTGATTTTAAGTTGAATAAAATATGTTTTTGGCAAGAGTGTAGGGACAGAAAATGTTAACAGTATTCCTTTAGCTGGAAAGCACCGTGCAGTGGTGCTTTAACCATTATACTGGCAGGGTGTCCTTGTGGTAAAAGCAGGAACACAAAGTAGATCTTGTGTACTCAGTTTGTTGGATTAACTTTTGCACATAATTGTTGGAGGGGATGTTTTATTAAAGTCTTAATTTTGGTCAAGGGAGTATACCCAACTGGGTAACATTTTATAATAACTATCCATTATAACTAGTTAATAGATCATTTGTAAACTGTTTATTAGTGAGTTATTAACCACTTGTTAAGTGTTTGTTGATGATTTATAACGATGCCTTATAGATAGTTAATATACATTTACAAACTGTTAGTTAATGAGTTATAAATGACTTGTTAACTGTATATTAATGATTTACAGCCATACCTTATAAACCAGTCATAAGTCACGAACAAGCCATTAGTGAATTACTTACTAATGACTTGCTAAGTATCAGTTAATAGTTTATATATGTTATTGGGACCTTATTCTAAAGTTGCAACTCTTCCACAACTGCTCCCCCCACCGTCTTTTCTTTCTTCCCTTTTTTTTGGTCTTCTATTTTTTCTTGTACTTTTAGTGCGGCGTGAGCTGTCTTTGTTTTGAATGTCACAATAATGATCATTCGTCAAATCCGTTTTTTAACTCCCAAACCCTACCCTCTTGCGTGGAGGGACAAAGGTCTGCTGCCGGATTTGACAGCCTTAAAAAAAACACGCCCAATTCAATTTTCAAAGGGGGATATGACAGCCTTTCACAATCTCTAACGTCTAAAATCCTGACTAAAAACCTCCAAAATAGCCTGCCTCTATAAATACCTGGCAGCATTTTGGGTTTAGCTCAACAGGAGTCAATACAAGTTTTGGTAAATACATTACTGTGGTATCATGGTGCCATTTAATTAGGTTTTTTTGATGTGATTGTTAGCGTGTGGCGAACAGAGAGGAGAGTTTATGTCGCTCAGCACGGAGTTTTCGGCAAGATTATTTTCACACGCTTTTATCGCACGCTATGCAGTTGTTTGCGTTTCAGAGTATTCGCAGTCCAAAGCTTTGTCTAATTATGTAAATGAAATGAGTTTACGCATGCGACATGACTGAAAGATAATTGAATGGAAATCCTGAAAGCGTTCATTTCAAACTGTCAGTCGGTGGAGCAGATGACAGTTGTTTGCAGTCATTCTCAGTGAAATAACGCTTTTCTTTTTTTCTTTTTTTTGTCTTGTCTGGTCTTTCATGATGTTTTCCACAACTCATTATATTTTGTCACTGTGTCACTGCTGTTCTTAATTATATGTCACTGAACTGTTCCTGTAAGTAGGAAGTGGAGGATAATGAAAGTCACAAGCTGCAGCGATAACGGGCCATTATGTTACAGCCTCTATGATTGTTCATACATGGACCCCTACAGCCTCAGGCCACTTTCAGACATGGTGGAAAGCCACAGCCTGCATGTTACTGTGGTGTATTAGTGAACCCATAGTGGCAGGATGTTTAGAGGTTATTTTTTTTTAGAACGATTTTGAACTATTTTAAGATAGATTTTTATTCTACTACCGTGCTGTTGCCTCGTCTCGGGGAAAAAACATGCAGCCATCCTTGTGAAGGTTATTGCTGAGAGATGTATTTACTGTACAAAACCGTTCCCATCTAGTGACTAAAAGTTAAATACATTTACATTTCTAGAATTTACTTAACACTGGAATGTGTAAAAGTTGTGCATATATATATATATATATATATATAGTTGTGAAAAGTACAGTGGAAAAGTATACATATCACATTGAAATTATTTTTTTGACATATTTGGACTGGCAATCACCTTAAATGTACCTTGAGATAAATATGACATACTTAAACACAAGAAAAACTAATTTTTCAACAAAAATATCACTAAATGTAATATTGTATTGCCCCCTCTTAGCAGAAATAATGTACTATTTTAACTTGTTAACCATTTCTGGTATCAGCTTGCAAAAATGTTCGACCACTCTTCCGTGCAAAATCCCTTCAATTGCAAGATGTTTGAGGGATTTTATTGACCTTTCTAGTGCATCTCTATAAAATCTTCAACATTCTTTTTGTATTTTAACTCAAATAGGTAAGCTTTCATATATTCTATATTCACATGTAAGCTGAAATGTTTCAAGCCTTTTTTTTGTTTTTTGTTTTTTGCTTTATATTTGGTGTTTATGGCTTATCGCTCGTGAAAATTCAAAATTCAGTATCTCAAACTATTTGAATATTTCCGTAGATCAGGGATCTCCAACTCCAGTCCTCGTAAGCTACAGTCCTGCAGGTTTTAGATGTTTCCATACGGCAACACACCTGACTCAAAGTAATGGATCTCCAACAGCTTGTTGTCAAGTTCTACACAAGTCTGTTAGTGGTCCATTAATCTGAATCAGGTGTGTTTCAGTACAGAAACATCGAAAACCTGCAGGACAGAAGCTCACGAGGACCGGAGTTCGATCAATCAGAAAAAGGATTTCCAATACAGAAATGCCCATAATGTTCATTTATACACACAGTACTTGGTTCAGGTACCATATGTTCTAATGTTTTTTTTTGTACAAGGCTGTAAGCATGAATTTTCAAGCCGTACAATTTTGCCATGGGAGTCTATTGGGATTGACACTTAGAGACATTCGTGGGACTACAGATGTTGACACTTTCACATTGGCTTAATCTTTTTTCAGCTCTACATGTTCCTGCTTGTTTTTTTTTTCCATGCGCTGTCTGATTCAAAATCCCTCACAAGGAGATTCAGATCTGACCAGGCGATTTCATAACACCCGTGTCTTCTTTTGAAGTCATTCCTTGATGACTTTGCTGCTGTGCTTCAAATCAGCATTCCGCTGAAGCTTCCAATTTCACTTCACCTTCAACTCTCAGAAAGATGGCCTCACTTTATCTTCAAGTACTCTTTGATAAGATGCAGAGTTCACTGTGGCATCAATGACGAAAACGGAGCAACTCCAAAGCATTACATTCACAGCATCAAGCAGTGTAGTTGGTTAAAGGTTCTTTTCCTAAAAAAAAAAGCTGTCTTTGGTTAAACATGTCTACTGTTACTGACATTATTCCAAAAGGCCTCATTGGCAAATTAATAGCTCTGCACTAATGTTCTTTTTGGACAACGAATACTTTCTCCTGTCATGTCTTTCATGCAAATTTGGGCAAACCTTTCTGATTGTAGATGCACGGGCTTTAGGGGTTACCTGTGATGAAACCTTGGGGTTCTTGGAGACTGCTAGAGTGGCCAGTCCAGGACATGCTGACAGTTGTTTGATACAGCCCTTGGAGATGATTTTCCTTATAGTGTGTGAATGTGTGTGTTTTTAATCCACTGCCAGAGTCACAGACATCGACAAACTCTTTTTCTAAGAGCTTTTTTTAGATTTGGCATGATGGCACCATGAATAAAATTGTAAATGCATTGTACTAATGGAAAACAATTACATTTTTTTTGTAAATGGCAACAGCATGTGAAAGGATTTTTTTTGTTTTGTTTGTTTTTCTGCTTAAATAATAAGCCTTTGACTGTAGGTAATGTAACAGACATTTTATTACCATGCACATTTTCCCAGGCATTTTTGAGTTTATTATATCAGCTACACACAAATAATGAAAATAACTGTTGGCTTCATAATCAGATTAAAAAAAATATTAGATGAGTCAAGGACTGGAATAGGAGTGAAAAAAAAACAGCTGGACATCCTGAATACATTCAATAAACATGTACAGTATACTTATAAAATAATAGAGTAAGCTTTGTCTTCGAGTGTAATAGGATATTTTTGCAGTTTGAGTATCTGATCATGCTTTTTGTTTGTGTTTTTTCCTAGGACGTGGTCTGGGGATTGAACTCCTTGTTTACTGTAAGTTCCTCTTGTTTTCACTTCATTAACACACTCACGTTTTTTTTCCCCCTCTATAATCTGTCAATTAAATAAAGGAAGTCCAGCCAAAATGCCGCCTCTTTGAACTGAATCATTTAACCATCTGGTTTACAAATAGATCTTCACTATAAAAGCTGCTCACTGTATGTAGGTTACACGAGTGACATTAGATGAGATTAAGCAAGGCCCTTGTTTATTCCATTTACAGCTGTAATAAGCCCATAATTTCTGACTTTGGGAAATTATATTTCTCATTATGAAGAACACTTTGAGGTAATAGGGAAATAAAAGCAACAAAATTAGATTACACATCGCATTGTGGAGATGCAACGCCAGCTGGCTCGTGATGTCTCCCAGAGCCAAGTCTTGTAAGGATCAGCAGTAATTCATTACCAACTCTTCAGGAAATGAAGAAAATTGATAGCTAATTATGTTCAGTGTTATGTTTGGGGAAAAATATTGATATGGTTTCCCATTTGGAACTATGGTGCAGTGAGACGAGCATTTTATCATGCGGATATGCTCACAAACATGCAGAAGTAAAATTCCAAAATTAGACGATTTGAAGGTTATTATAACATTTTTTTCTATTTAATTAGGCAGCAAGCAATGAGGTTAAAAATAATCCCTTTATTTAGTTTAGTCACATCATGCAAGTTTCACTTAATGCAAACTTCAATAAATTTATCAGTGATTGCATTTGAAACATGTCTGCACTTTCCCTCGGGTCAGCACAGTGTCTGTGACGATAATGGCGATGGTAATCTACACAGATACTGGGTCATGCACTAAGTCTTACCTCTTAATCAGGAAGCAACCTCTCAGGCCATTCTGCTTTTTATCTCTAATAACACTCTCGCCTCACTCGCCGTACGTGTCATCTCTAAGGCAACAGAGTAATTACGCGCAGTCGCAGTCGCTGGATCCGAGGTGACACTGCAGGCAGCAAGCGGTGGTGAAGTTGGTGGTGTTTCCCACAGCAGCTTTTCTTTAATTATCAACATAGTCCCAAAGTACTACTGATTAAACATTTGAGATCTTCTGGCCACAAGCAATCAATCGTTGATTTATGTTGACACTGGGCTTCAGCGTTGCTGTTTCTGGCTTTTATCTCTTGTTCTTCATCTCTTCTGCAGGACCTGTTGAACTTTGATGACCCGCTGAACATCGATGCAGCAGAACATCATCTGAGAGACAAGGTGAGGCACATCCAGGGTGATTCCAAAAGTGATCGTTTACTCTGTTTCATCATCAGATAAAGATTCAGTGCAAACCGTGACTCTAGTCATTGACACGCGGTGACTCACTTGTGAATCATTCCCCACACTGGCTCAGATGTGCTTATCGTTGTCATAATCTTAGTCATGTTCGTGGCTTTGTTGATATCCTGAACAGAAAATATATTGAGACTGGCCGCGCAGCTGCTGCAGAAACTACATTTCCTCTGCAGCGTTCAGCGACGCCCTGCGCGCGATACTTGGTTCTGTAGGTGGGATTCAGTCATAATGGAGAGTGCTTTGTAATGGGTTGAAGACAAAGAGCGCGCAGCAGCCTTTCTGAGCAGACGAGAGCCATGACGGTATACTCCAGAGCCGTATGGGCGCACCAGGTGCATATGGCATTTCAGAGAAAGGTAATCGTTCATGGATGACGATTTAATTCAACGCCTCAGCAACACACAACAGGCGCTACGATTTGTAAGTCAAATCAGAACCCTGAGCTGGAACTCTGAATTCCCACACCCGTCCCCGTTCTCTCCTCGGTGGTGTGTATGCTGTGTATTCAGACTTTAATTACATTTTATCAGAGATACACTGGGTCTTTCCATTCAGGCTTTTTTTGGCGTAGACTCAGCAGTAATAGGAGTGGTTGAATGCCAACCTTCCTCTGAACAAAGCAAACACACAGGATGTTTCTAAAAGATATGCGCCCTGGCTAATTGATCTTATTCCCTCTGCGTCGCCCCCATTGGAGCTCTCATTTATGTGTCTCGCTTGTGCATCCACGCTCTTCCATTCAGTTATTTATCAGCATGTAAGGCAGTGTCATAAATGTTAAGGAGCCGATGAGTGTTTTTAGTTCAGTGATTCATTCTCTGGATTGCCAGCTGAACTTTGCAGGGAGGCAGCTGACCATGGAAATAATCATGAGCCTTAATCAGGGCCGCCTGAAAGCATCTTGAAGTACGATGTTGACCTTTGGCTCTTCACACATACACTTGCTGCAGTGGAATGTGCCCAATGGTGCGTGGCAGTGGCTGCGATGCCATGTGATGTGCAGAAGTCTGTTTGTCTGTGTGAGAGAGTGAGTGTGTGATAATTGTTGCTTTATGGCAGGAGGTAGGATTGTTATGATGTGCGTCTTCTCCCAGGTGCAGGAGTAGGATGTCCTCTGGGAGCATAAAGTAAACAAACAGAAGTCATTTTATTGTATCAGAAACCTGGATTAATTAGCCAGTGACGCCAAGGCTCAGTAGTTTCTCTGAGGCCATACGAAGCAGAACATTTTGAACAAACTGCTGTGAGTTCTAATGCATAGGAACACATCATGTACTGGATATGCAACAGTAGGACCTTATTTAATATCACAACCAAGTGCATTTGTAACTTTGCTGCTGAATAGGGATTTTTGTCATGCGTGTAGTCAATTCTTAATTTCTCAGCTTTACCCTCAGCTTACTGAATAGGTGGAAATATTTTATATTCTTGCAGGATTACCTGAACCGCTCGCTTTAAAACAAACAAACAAAAAAAGCCACATGATTGACTTAACAGGCACTGATGGTTTCCCAATGAAAGAAGCTGAAAGCTAAGGTGGAGTGGTTGCCAATCAAGGCTTGTTATTACCACGTGTCAGAAGAAATCTAGTCTAGAAGTATTTTTCTATTCATAAAGTATTTTTCTATTCTATGAAGTATTTTTCTATTTATAAAGTATTTTTTCTATTCTAAAAAAAACCCCCAAAAAACAAAAAAACAAAAAAACAAAAACCCCAGTAATTTCCCAGACTGGGATAAATAAAGTATTTTTCTATTCTATCTATTCTATTCTAAAGCTTGCCAGCATTTAAAATGTTTTGAAAAACAACTCTGACAAAGTTAAATTCAAACTCTGTATGCAGAGAGTTGTCTATCATTAAGTAATATCACATGTGGCAAACCACTTGAAACAGGTGGGCTCATGTCAGTTATTTCGTAGTAGGCAATGCCATGAATTTATTTCAAAGTGTTTCTTTTGGTACAACATTAAAAGCATGAAGAATGGAGTAAAATAAAAAATAAACAGTATAAATACATATGTGCTGCCTGTACTTTTACTCCGACAACTTCTAAATTCATAAAGTAGGCCAACACCACATGCTGCCTTTTGTTGATTTTTAAATATTCAATGATCATGTTAATGTGGGGGCTGCAAGGTGGCGCAGTTGGTAGCACTGTTGCCTCGCAACAGTGCTACCGGTTCGCCTCCCGGTGGGGGCACCGGAATCTTTCTGCGTGGAGTCTCCATGTTCTCCCCGTGCAGCGTGGGTTCTCTCCGGGTTCTCCGGCTTGCTCCCACAAGGCCAAAAACATGTTGAGGTTAATTGGTGATTCTAAATTGTCTGTAGGTGTGAATGTGAGTGTGCTTGGTTGTCTGTCTCTAAGTGTAGCCCTGTGATAGACTGGTGACCTGTCCAGGGTGTCCCCTGCCTTCACCCTGAGTCAGCTGGGATAGACTCCAGCCCCCCATGACCCTAGTGAGGATTAAGCGGTGTATAGATAATGGATGGATGGATGGATGTTAATGTGGTTGAAGTCATCACTTAAACTTGTATCAATGAATTTTCTAATTGTCAGATAATCTGTCTGAAAAGGCACGAATATTAGAATCTTCATGTTGAACAGCCAAATCCAATCCGACAACATTTTGATTGTCAAAAACACCAGTGAGTTGTCTGATAAAATGTGAGTGAACTCCAGATCTTTTTGATTATTCACATGAATGTTTGGACTTTTTTTTGGTTTTTTTTGTTTTGTAATAGCTCTGATTTCACAAAGTTATTTAATTAATTAATTTGAAAAGTTAGACGCGTTACATAAATCTATATTTTCTGTGAGTTTTAGTGATGCTTCATCATCCTGTCGTGGCACAACAACTGAAAACACAAAGTCATCCATCCGTGACCCACTCCCACTGAGTCGCAGCCTGCTGTAATCAACTTCAGCAGCGAGTGGATAGAGGTGTGGGAGTGTGTGTCAGCACATAAGTGTGCTTGTGTGTGTGGCGGTGTGTGTTTGTGTGTGTGTGTTGAGGCTTTTGAAGTGCAGCTCCTCCTGTGGCTGCTCTCTGAATACATTAGCTGGTTTAAGTGGCTAAAAGGAAGCATCCTCATGGGCGATGTACTGTAAGTGTGTGAGCCGTACGTGTTTGTCGGTGATCGTTCTGTTTTACTGTTGGTAGTTGTGCACAGACGCCTGTATAACAAACAAACAGAGTTTAAGGATGACACTTAGTAGGACAGGGTAATCAACCCGAAAGAGTGTAAGAGCATGTGTTGTGTTTAGCTGTTCAGGGATATTTTTATCTGACCATTTTGTATTAATACTTAATATTTAACTAGGAACTGTGGGATCTGATACCCCCTTTGCAGGGAGTCAAGGTAATATGGAGTAGCCGGCTTTTCAGACTGTCAGGCTGAAGTCAAAGTGGATCCTGTGATGGATGTCAAGGGATTGCTGCAAACACCACCTTTGTCCGTACCAATCCCCCGGCACATTTTTGTTTGACTCTTTATGAAAAAAGCAGATTAATAATGAGCCTCGAAATGTGCACACACTCTGACATTTGATGTCCTCAGGAGAGACTTCTTATCTGCAAATACTAATCAGCTCCGTCTATAACATGAAAAAATATGTGAAAGAAATAGAGGCTGATTGTCATTTGGGTTCTTGGGATTTGGGTTGCAGCCAAGGAAGGGTATCATTTTGGCATTTGATATCCCTTATCTGTATTTCCCTTGGAAGGTACACACTCCATAACACCGATTTTAAGCAAGTTTTGAGTTTGAAATATGTTCTTACTGATCATACCCTCAAGCAACTGGAAAGTATTGTGGTAAACGGTGTTCAGACATTTTAGCAGTGGCGTTCAAGAACAGCAAGTCGTGTAAACAAGTATATTTCAAGTAAATTTTTGCAAACACGTTCAAAAATTAAAATGTGGATGTTTCCATGAACATTTTTGGAGCAGCCAGAGTGGTTTCTTCAGAAGGCAGAGGTAGAGGCTATAAAACGTTCTGCTGTAATAAGCAATATAAGAAGTGGGGAAACAAAACCAGCTGTTTGCTAACTTTGAAAAAAACATGCAGAAGAAGAAGGGAAAGGCAAAATGTTGGCCACATACAAGCAAAAAATGGATACAAGTCTTCAGGTTTAGTTTTCAATCTTTGAGTTGTAGTTATTCTTTCATGTCAGCTGGCCTTGCTTCATGCTGTCCAGAAGCAAACACAACAAAAGAAGCGAAAACAGTTGATGAATTGTGAGAG